GCGATTTGCATGAAGTGCGCCGACCACATTCGCCAGACAAGCCGGCAATGCCCCGTGTGCCGCGCCGACGTGCGCGAAATCATCCAGCTCTACCATGTCTAAGGCGAGCATCGAAGCGCGCTCTAAAGATGCGAGTTTGTATTTATAACGGTGTTGGCCACCTGTGTTAATAGCGTCATCGAGGGTCAACCCTACCCCTACTTGACCACAACATTTGCTAGAACACCCAACCCTAGAGCCACCCATCGTTTTGTAACGTTATAATCGAATTGATTTCCACTTTCCAACTACAGTTTATGTAGTAGTCTAGCTTCTCTAGATGCGCGAACAACGAATACTAATATCGGATGTGGCGCGTCAAAGGTTAGGTAATCACAGCCTTTCAATCATAAGCACAAGATACGCATTCCCTTGGAATGTTGGTGGCGGAGCGCCATTCACGCAGAATGCAGGTACATGTGACTGCCCGTGTGGACAGAGGCAGCAGCAAACGTCATTTTTGTTTTATCCGAGTCTACTCGATGGGTATTCCTTCCGTGACGATCCAGCTGCCGTCGACGGCCACGTCGTGGGCGAGCGAGATCGGCCACGATCTCAACAAGCTCGGTGCCACGCTCACCAAGGGAGTTCACGAAGTCTGCAGCAGCCTTCACGTGCACGACCTCGTCTCGTCCCTTCAATCAGCGCTGACCTTCGACGTGGGCCGCAACGCTAACCGCGTCTTCCTTGCCGCCCGCACCAACAACATTTCAGCGCTCACCAACGCGCTTGCCACGTCACCAGCCGAGCAAGCTACCTTGCTTGAGTACCGCGGATCCAACGGCCGGACACCGCTGCTTGTCGCTGCGGCCAAAGATCACGTGGCCTGTATCGAGATTTTGCTGCAGCACGGCGCCAACGTCATGGCGACCGACGATAGCGGCAACAACGCACTGCACTATGCATGCTTTCAAGGCGCGGTGAACGCCGCGCGCTTCCTCCTTTCGCCGGCTCTCGGTCTCTCGCCCTTCTCGCTCAACGCCCATGGGTTGGCGCCCATGGACATGGTACGTGCGAGTCTCGCCCAACGCGAACATGTGGCTGCATCGGGCGCGATCCAGCAGCTCTTGGCGTCGCACACGTGCCTCTTCATGGGCTACATCTACGAGAGCGTCGAGAACACCGCGTCGGCGGTCTCGGGGCTGCGCGCGCTGCGGTCCTGGACTCGGCGCTGGGCCATCGTCTCGCATGTCGGGTCGCCCACGTATCTCGAAATTGCATTCTACAATGTCTCTGCCATGGACCCGTCGCGTCACCCCCCGAGGTAGACGCTCTTGGTGCACTCTCGGGGATTGATGTCGCGTGTCTTTTTATCTAGCTCGATCTTTATGCTCAATGCCACGGGTTCTGTGCAGCTGTCGACATCCGACAAGTGGTTCAATGACAAGCCGTTTGCGCTCCTCGTGCCCGGCGCACGTCTCAAGGGCCCGGGGATCATTGGCAGCGAAGAAATGCTCGAGCTGGCGGCGCTTGATGCACCCTCGTTCGCTGCGTGGTCGGCCTTTCTAACACAAGGCGCGGTACGACCTACTTGTAGTCTAGTATAGCTCATCGATTCGATGCGTAGACGGTACCAGCGGCCATCGCCGTCCGAGACAACGCCAAACGTGTAGACACACCTACTGACACTACCTCAGTCGACATCACACCCACTCTCGACCTTTCAATCGCCCAAACGGAAGCTCCTATCGCGCTGACAGAAGCTCCCGTCGTCCTAACGGAAGCTCCCGTGATGGTGGAGGCAGCGACAGAGTCTGCACCGTCGGCACCGTCGGTCGAAGACGGTCGATCGATGGCCCACTGTATTTTGTGCGACCATGGCTCGCAAAACGCCGTCTGCGTACCCTGCGGCCATGCAGCTCTGTGCATGGGCTGCGCCGTCGAGGTCCAAGCCACCGCTTGCTTTGTCTGCAACGCTCCGATTCGAGAAGTTGTCGAGCTCTTCCA